CCGGGCCCTCCCGCACCTCCCCCGGGCCCTCCCGCACCGCCCTGCCCGGTGCTCGCTGCCCCCGCGGGTACAAACCCGCAGGCTCCACCGTCTCCTGAGCACCTTTCTGAAGAAGCAGTTAAAGCTGGGGGGTCAGGACTAAGGCAACGAAGCGCGTGGAAGGGTGAGGCCCGCGGGCAGGGCCCGGGTCACTCGTGTCGCGGTGTGTCCTCGCCGCGGTGGGGTGGCTGGGCCCGAAGTGTGTGCTGGGGGCGTGGGGAGGACAGAACCTGTTGTGCAAGATGCCCTGAGCCTCTAATGCTGAAATGCTCGTGGGATGGCAAATATGGGAGCTTCAGCATGAGGCCACAGCGAGGTTTTTGAGGAATCAAAACAATTAATAACATTTGTTCACAGCAGTATATCTTTCTGTTGCTGAGACTGTGCTCCCTTATCAGTATTTTAGCAGTTGGAATACTCTGTTTAACTTCTTGTGGCTGGCAGATTAAATTAAAGGGCATCTTGACCTTGAGAAAAGCAGAATTTCCCATTCCCACCTGTGTTCACAGGACAGAGTAGAAGTTTGAAGCTCAAAGTGGTTCCTGAAGGACAAGGGCCTGGTGCTGTGTCAAGGGAAACCCACTACAGGTTCTCTGACTGAGCAAGAGCTGGGGTTACCTGTGCAGTACCCAGGAGAGTGTCAGAGTGGCTTGTTTTCCCCTTTGTTTCTCTTTCCAGGCCTCCAGTTTTTGATTAGGAAAGACATTGTGAGGTATTTCTGTAGATCACTGGGACATTTTAATTTCTACAGTTGAAGTTTCAAGTTCTTAAGAACACAAAGTCACTCCTCCATGTGACATGGGGTTTGAGACTGTGAAGCAGCTGCTTTATCTGGTGGTGGTGTTAAAACAGTCAACTCCACTCAGCTACTTGGATGGGACCAGATTATTGGTATAAAACACATTGGTATTTTGTGTTGCCTCTGCTGTTCTTCAGTAGAAGGGAGAAACAAAAGCAGGGTAAAAGGGTGGTGTTGCAAAAACCAGACATGCTGCTGATGGCTCTGTCACTGGGTGTGAAGTCAAACTCTTGCTTTCTTTCCTCTTCTCTCTCTGGGCTGCACAGTGAATTACTTTGGGTACCTGGAGCACAGGGATGAGCCCTTCACCAAATGCTGCAGCAAGTTTCCCAAGCTGATGAAACTTGGAAAAGGTGGGTTTGAGCCTGAAAAGTTCATCTTGGGGCATAGGGCTGTAAGGACCAGCCTATTAAGATGTGTCAATTTAAAAGCTGTTTATGTTATGCATTATTTGAAACCTTTGAAACTTGTCAGTGGAGTCCAGAAGCCTCCTGCTTCTCACAGGTGCTGGTCAGCCTGGAACTGGTTCCCCTCTGCCCCTCAGGATGGTGGCTCCTGAAGCAGCTGCTTTTCTTGGTGCTTTAAAATAACCCAAGAGAAGATCTTGTGGTGCACTGGGTGCCTGGTCCCACAGCAGACTGTCCTGTTCTTTAACAGGGCACTTGACAATTGTAGGTGCTGAGATAGGAGCTACCAAGGACTTTTGCCCTCCAGGCTGCAGGAGAAATTGTTGTTTGGTGTCTGAGGGGGTTTTTCAGGCTGGCAGTTCTCACACCCTTCCATTTCTTGCTGCAACAGACATCACGCTGTGGGGCCTGGAGATCGGCCTGCTGACCATGAGGAAGGGAGAGGTTGCAAGGTTTTTCCTCATGCCAAAATACGCCTACGGGCAGCTGGGCTGTCCCCCCCTCATTCCCCCCAACAGCACAGTCACCTTCGAAGTGGAGCTGCTGGATTTCCTCAACTCGGCTGAATCTGATGCCTTCTTCGAGTTGACTGCTGTGAGTTGAGTTAATGAGACCTGAATTTGCAGGTTTAACCATTGCCCTGTGCTGCTGCCCCTGCAGCCCTGCTCCCTTCCCCTCGCCCTGAGCAGCAGGAGAAGCTGGGGCTGCGCTGGTTGCTCCCGGTGCTGGAGGCACTGGAGGAGCTTCCCTTTAGTTTTCTCTTCACAAGAAACCTCCTGGTTTCACTAGGGGGCATCAGCTTCCAGGGATGTCTCTGAAGGAACAGGAATGAGCTGTCTCTAAAAATCCTGTTCACTCTGCAGTGCCCAAGTGCCCCCCCCAGCCCCCACCCCCCACCCTTTCTCTCTGCCTTTTGGCTGATCTCCCAAGGGCTCTTTCACTGGTCGCTTTCCTCCTTGGTGAGTTACAGGGTTATTGTTAATTCCCCCTGTTCATGTCAAGGGCTTTGGGCTGTGGCTCTGGGTTAGCAGTATTGGAGGGAGGAGACCCCACCCTCAGTCGTCCCATCACCCCCCTCAGTCCTGTGTCCCCTCCTACCTCCCTGCCTCCTGCTGCCTTGCCCACTTTCCCACTTTGCCCTGCCAACTACCCACACTTGTTGCAAGATCCTGTTCCTCCCACCTTGCCTCTTGTTACCCTGTGGGGTTAACTGACCTCTCTCTGTTAGTTGGGTCAAGCTTGCAAACCCAGGAGAAAACCTGTCCCTTGATTTGAATCTTTTGTTATTATTGCTGGGGCTTTTTTTGTTTTGCTGCCTGGTGTGGGTGTCAGGCTGGTCAAGGCCTGAGGGTGATGCCCTTAGAGCAACTGGAGCCTTTCAGTCACCTTCACCTTATGTGCCAGCAATAGCATCTGCCTTAACTGCTCTGTGCTAAGCAGGAGAGAGAGTTGGGCAGGACTGAAGAAGAAATTCTGGGTTTTTCTTTCCTTCCCAGGGTTCCTCTGGTCCTGCTGAGCTTCCTGACGTGGTTGGTGGAATTCTCCCACAAGGAGATACCAGCTCAAGAGCTGTGGCATATTTCAGCCTGGCAAAGGGAGATGCCACGTGGTGGCCTGATAGGACCCTGCAGGGGCCTTGGCAAGGGCTCTGAATAACAGGGGCTGTGCAGGACTCTCCTGTCTGAGCTCTTCTCCTGTTCTCTTTTGTTTGAGCTGATACTCAGGTATTTCTTTGTACAGGAGCAGCAGGATACATTTCCACTACAGAAGGTGTTGGAAGTGGCAGACAGAGAGAGACAGTTTGGCAACTACCTGTACCGTAACCAGGTCTTGGAGCATGCCAAGGAGAGGTACAAAAGGGTAATGACACCAGAAAAATGAGCTTTGTGTTGTGAAAAGCTGTGAAAGCAGGGAGGGAGTGCTAGCTCACCCTAACCAGGACAATGTAGAGATCAGGTTGTATTTTCCAGGCATAGGTTTGATATTTAAGAAGGGATCTTAGACACCAGCTTTTGTGTGAGCCTCAGTGGCAAAGGAGAAGGGCTGGCAGAACCTTCCTGCTCCCCATGGGCTCCAGCTGAGATGGCATGGTCTGTCACAGCAGCTGTGGGAACCCAGAGGGGTTTGTGTGGCTGCACCTTTCAGGTCAGCTTTTCATGGAATCCCAGACTTGTTTGGATTGAAAGGGACCTTAAAGACCATCCAGTCCCAACCCCCTGCATGGGCAGGGACACCTCCCACTAGACCTGGTTGCTCCAAGCCCCATCCAACCTGCCCTTCAACACTGCCAGGGATGGGGCAGCCACAGCTTCTCTGGGCAACCTGGGCCAGGGTCTCACCACCCTCACAGCAAATAATTTCTTCCTAATATTCAATCTCATTCTCCCCTCTTCCAGTTTGAAACCCTTCCCTCTTGTCCCATCCCTCCCTGCCCTTGTCCCAAGTCCCTCCCCAGCTTTCCTGGAGCCCCTTCAGGCACTGGAAGGTGCTCTAAGGTCTCCCTGGAGCCTTCTCTTCTCCAGGCTGAACACCCCAACTCTCCCAGCCTGTCTCCAGAGCAGAGCTGCTCCAGCTGATCCAGGTCATGGATCCTCTGGGCTTGCTCCAACAGCTCCATGTCCTTCTTGTATTGGGGACCCCAGAACTGGACCCAGCCCTGCAGGGGTGGTTTGCTGGGAGACATGATGGTGCAGGGCCATGTACTGCAGCAGCCTGCTGATCAGTGCTTTGGAGAGGAATCTAGAATCCCTTTGGTCTGGAAACAGATATCACTGGCACACTGGGCACTCTGACTTTATTTTTAGTCCTCCAGTTGGTAATCACAGGATAGCTGAGGTTGCTAGGAGCCTCTGGAGGTTGTCTAGTCCAAACCCATGCTGAAGGAAGGTCAGCCACAACAGAATGTTGTCCAGGACTGTGTCCATTCAGGTTTTGAATGTCTCTAAGGATGGAGACTCCACAACCTCTCTGGGTAGGGAAACAGTTGTTCCCAACCTGGAATGTATCTGCCTTTGTTTTTGGTGTAGTGAGGTTTTGTGAGATTTTTCCTCCCTGTATTTTGGATTACTTTTTCTTGGTATATCTTTGTAACAAAATAATTTCAATTGCCTTTCTCCCTGTGGGATTTCTCTTCTGTTTTTGGCCTTAAAACCTGGGTCCTGGGTATTTTTTTATTTTATTTTTTTTTAATTCTGCTGCTGTCAAGTTCCTTGACAGGTTCCTAAACCTTTAGTCTTATAGCTGAGTTGGCCGGTCGTGCTGATAATGCTCTGCAGCATGTTTAGAGTCTTGATTGTTATTATTTTTAACTGAGCTAGGTAAGCATGGGTGTAGCTGGCTGATGAGGTGGATGTCTCATTGTCCATCACAGGTTTCTTGTGCATTAACTCTTGTTCCCTGCCTCCTCAGGCCCTCTCCATCCTTGGTCGCAGCCCTTCCAGTGCGGCAGAGCAGCAGCAGATCGACGCGTCCAAGCTGCTGGTCTTCCTGAATCTCTCCATAACATACTTGAAACTGAAGCGTCCTGCCAGAGCTTTGGCATATGGGGAGAAAGCCTTGAAAATTGACCAAAGAAATGCCAAAGGGCTGTTCAGGTGTGGCCAGGTGGGTGAAAAGAAATTCCTCTGTGGAGACACCCTTGAAGGAACTGAGGAGAACCACTGACCTCTGGGCCGGGCTCCTGTGCTGCTGCTGCAGTTGAGGGGGCTTGTCTTCCCCCCTGGGAAGATCTGGTGCTCTCTAAATCTGTCATACAGATCTTTTCATGGGGCATTTGTGAGCTACCTGGGTCTGTCTCAGAAATGCCTGTGGTTGCACATGTTTGGGTCCTGAAAGAGGGCAGTGAGGCTGTGTTTATCTTGTGATCCATCTGTCCTCTTTCCATGGCAGGCTTGTCTCTGCATGGCAGAGTATGAAAAAGCCCGGGATTTCCTGGTCAGAGCTCAGCACATCCAGCCCTTCAACCACGATATTAACAATGAGCTAAAAAAGCTGGCAAGGTGAGAAGACTCTTTTCTATCCTTGGGGAAGAGGAAGTGCTTGGGCAGGCTGGAACACTTGCTCCAAAACACTGAAAATGTTTTTAAAAGCCCAAAATACAAAACGATTGGGTTAGCGAGAGACCTGGGAAATTGCAGGTGGTTTCTTTTGTTGTGGGGACAGATGATTCAAACCTTTTGCAGATATGGGGGGTACAAGGCATGGGTGAGAAGCTGAGAGCACCCCCTCTTTCTGTGCAGCTTCTCTGGGGGAACGGGTGTGTGTGTGTGTGTGTGTGTGTTGGCTTCATGTGAGGAGGTGGGTCAGGCAGGGGGATGGGGGCTGCTGGAATGCCTCAGACCCCGTGTGATGCAGCAGCCTAGTGCTCACGCTGACAGTGTTCTGGATTAATAAATATGATCTTTGTTCTCTTAAAGATGTGTTGGTTAACTACAGCACTGCAAGTGTTTCAATGTATAATGCTACAAATACTGACGTTTGTCAAAAGTGGATTTCTTGCTGTCTCAGACTTATTAGTGAGCAACAAACTTCTTTATTTCCTGCAGGCTGAGTGCAGCATGATCCTGCCAGCTTTAGTCATGCCCTAGCCCCACCAAAACATGACTAACACTGGTCTCTGCCCTTGTTCTCCCCCTTGAAACTGGCCAGAGCACTTGCTGGTTCCCAAAAGCATGTGCTGTGCTTCTGGCACAGGAAGTGATGCAGTCCCCAGCTTCAGAGATCACAAAGAAGCCCTTAAACGCCAACCCTCTTATTTTGTGTGTCGCTGCTGGGTGTTTGCAGAAAGGTTTGTCGGGAGCACTAACAGCTCTCAGTGGAGTGTGATGGGCTGGGGGCCTGCACCAGGGAGTGCTTTGGCTGAGGGCTGTCCTTGCACATCTCTGCCCTGTGTGTACACGTAGTCTGTGACAACACCAAGTCTTCAGGCTTCTTCTGTTACTCCTGAAGGACAACTCAAAGGCTGTCTGGAAATCTGAAGTAAACCACTTCTCCTCCCCCTGATCTCCCTCTGGGTACCTGGTACCATCCTGTTGGTGAGCACATTACAAAACAGATCTGCCTGGTGAGCTGCCCTTTGGAGGCTCGGTGTGCAGGCAGGGTCAAAAACCCATGGGACAGTGCTAGATGTCCTGATTCTTGAAGGCTTATGGGTTCTCAGACTCATTCAAAATACATTGGCAGGTAGAAGAACAAACTTGCTAACAATGTTGAGGTGGTGGTGCCAGGAGGCAGCATGAGGCGCTGCCTGCGGGGAGGCTGGTTGGCAGCATGTACAGCCAGTGTGTGTGTCAGTCAGCAGAGTGGCCTTAAGGCACTGTTGTCTCAGAGTTACTGCTTCAGTGCCAGTTCAAATGGGTGCATTTTTTGCTTTGCTATGACAAAGAGTGGAATTAGTATAAAATCAACGAAGGCAACGTTATCAGGTGGTGTTAATTGTGCCACACCTCGGGCTGCATCCTGTAATGTTGCCAACCTGCCTTGCCTGAGAAAACTCATAATGTGATCTGGCAAGTGCTTCAGAAATGGAATATAAATCAAAATGTTCTTAGAGGCTTTTCACTTCCTTACTGAGTACATTTATACTTGCAAAAAGGAATGTTGTGTGCTAATCAACAGCTACCTTTTGCTGTCTAAAACAAAACTTTGAAAAGCATCAGTTTAACAGGTCAACCAGGTTGCTGGCAACATTCACTTCACTGGAGAAAACCAGGCAGAATTCAGGGTGAGGGTTTTGTGGGATTCATGTCTGGTACCAGCTGTAGGGGTCTTGTTGTTGCAAATTCTGCTGCTGGATTGGGCAGTTGGAAGGCTTGCACTGTATCAGATCTAGAACAAAATGAGGTGGTTCTGATACCTGGCATGGATCTGTGCCTCCAAACAAGGGGCTCTTGGATTTCCTGCAGTGGTCAGTGTGTGAGAGTGCCATCCATGGTCTGGGTGGGCGTCCCTCATCTACTCAGTGTGGACAGTTGTGGCAGCATCTGTCTGAGACCTAACAGAAGGGACTTGCTGTGGGGATTTCACTGAACAAACGCTTGGAGATTCTGGACACAGGAGTGCTGGTGGTAGGGGGCTGAGAGAGCCTTAGCCAACATCACACTTGTGCTGGTCCTGGCGTGTTGCAAAAACCTTGGCTTTTGACCTTATATGGTAGCAGATGCAGGAAAAGCAGTAATGTGGGCAGCCATTGATCCCTGGGATGGTGCCCAAACTGAGTCACCCTCTGGCTCAGGGATTCCTCACCAGTGAGACCTCGTTGCTGGTGAGGTGAGAGCCCAGGGTGCAGAGGACACTGTGCTTGGAGAGGCAGTGGTTGAAATGGAGCAGTCTGGGAAGCATCTCACATGTTTGCAAGGCTGGTGTAGAAAGCATCTGGCTACCAAAAGCTAAATGATCTCCTGAACCAATAGTTGCCAGGGAAGCAGAGAGCCAAGGTCTGGGGCTGAGGTGCAGTGTTTCCAGCTCTCCTTCCCTGACATGGCAGAGAGAAGGGCTGGGAGGAGCCATGTCTTTGTTACCAGCACACAGGCTGGTAGGACATATCAGGCTAATTTATTTAGATAGAAAAAGTAATACCTGTTGTCTGGTTGTGGCACTGAGGGCTGGGCAGCCTGTGATGCTGTGCTCTGCTTTGCAGCTACTACAGGAAATCCATGGAAAAGGAGAAAGAAATGTGCTGCAGAATGTTTGCCCACCTCAGGCTCCCTCCAGCTGACCAGGAATAAAGGTAATCAAGTTGAGAAAAAGGCTGAGGTCTCCCAGAAGCTGTCATGGCTGAACTGTTTTTAGGTGAGGAACCTGATTCTTGTCTGCTTGGGAGGATTTTGGAGACAAAATGTGAGTTACTGGTAGTGTGTGAAGGGGAAGGGGCTGAAATGCTGCTGAAGCTGGTGTGGGACAGGAACCTGAAACTGGCAGCACTTGAGTAAGTTTGGGTTTGTTGTTTCCTGTGCTGCTCATCCCGGCTATTCCTTGTCAGAGCCAGGGGGAGAAATAGCTGTGTAGTCTTGTTTCTCTGCCAATTAAAAGAAACAAAATAAAAAAAATGGTTCCTGTCAAACTTAAGAACTGGATTTCCTCATCTCCTCCAGCATTCCTGTCTGGAGCTGCTGGAATGCCCCACTTCAGAAAAATCTAAATATTTTATTTCTGGGGTGTTGTTTTTTTTTAATATTAAAAAACCTGTTTGTATAGAAAATTTCAAATAGATGTTTTGGACTCTTTAAAGTCTTAAATCTTCTAGCAAAATTGACGGGCTTATAAATGCACAAAGGCCCTTTGATCATCCTTTTTTTTTGTCAAAACCTTCAGCAGGGTGTAAGGGGGAGTAGGAATCTTCACTGGTCGTTTGCCTCAGGGTGAACCCTAGGGAAGAAGTTGCAGAAAATGACAGCAGCCTTCTGTCAGGCAGCATCAGCAGCTTGGGGCTGTCAGAGTTTGCAGCACTTCTCTCTCATGCAATGCAGGCAGTACCTCTTCTGCTTGCAGAAAATGGGTATTGTCAGCCTTTCCAGCAGCAGCAGTGCCAGTGCAGGGCTGGTGTTTTAAGGTTGGCTCTTTTGTCTGTGCTGGTGAGGAAGCTAAGGTTGTGTTTGAGGAAGGAGCTGGTTTGAATAGTTGTTTCCAAAAGCAACACAAACCTCTTCTGACTGGACATGCCTCCTGCTGTCCCAGCTGAGTGTGTTGCTGAACTGCACAGAGCACAGATTCTTCTGCCTTGAGTTCAGGGTGAGATGGATCCCATCTGTTAGCAGGTACCTACCTCCCAGCAAGTAGCTGTGAAAGGAGATTTAAGACTGAGGATTTGTCTTGCCAGTGTCTGCAGGAAGTCCATGGCCCTGGACTTGGTGTGGAGGCTCTGCTTCTCCACTTGCTGGATTCAAGAGATTTGCCATTTAGAAGCCTGTAGGATGTGAGTCTCTGACTATAGGACATAGCACTGCATGACCTGGGATGCTTCTTGGGTTGATCTGTGCATAAGCTGGGCCTGCTTTATGGTGGGAGCTCTGAATGAATGGGATTATCTGCTGGGTCACCAGACAGATCCTCCACTGATAAGCTTGTGTGACCTCTTTTCCTAAAGAGCAACTTGCAAAGGTGCTGATTTCCATGTGCCTGGTGTAATGGCACGGAGCTGTTGTAAATAAAACTGTGTCTTCAGGTAGTGGAGACTGGGAAGTGCAAAGAGGAAGGGAAAAAGAGAAACCTGAGCTGGAGGCAAGCTTAAAGATGGGCTGAACTGCTCATCAGCCAGTGTTTCCCAGACTTCTACCCATGTACAGCACTTTTCTGGAGCTCTTCCACTTTACTGATGGGCAGCTGTCAGTCAAAAGAATTCTAACCTCCCTTGAAGCTGATTTTAGTTACGCTATTAAAAATAAACTGTCTTCCAAACAGACATAAATCACTGAGACAAAAGAATCTCCTGTTAATTCATTGCAGGAAAAATCCCTTTCTGGAGGAGGTTCTCACAGGGCAGAGCCTCATTCTGGCTTGGAGATTGGTTAAAAACCTTAATACATATTCAGAGAGGAGCAAAGCAGTTCCAGCTGGAGCTCCTGCTCTCTATCAAAGGCACCACTAATTAGTCAGACTCGAGGCAGAACATTCTTTAGTGTTTTCTGACAACTTTGTGCAAGCTCAGTGCAGGGCACAAGCTGTACTCAGTCAGCTTGGCAACCCTCCTTCATCCTTCCTGTCTTAGGCACTGGGGGAATTGATGGCCTCTGGATGCTGCCTGTAGCTCAGATTTAATGATCCAGTGGAATCACAAGAGTTATGGAAAACCTTCCTATTTACCAGCTGGCAAGTGCTTGTTAAGTGTCGACCCGACCCATTGTCCAGGTTAACAGTGGAAAGGCTCAAAATTCAGAAGCACTCAGGCAGAAATAGGAGCACAAATGTTTTCTTAAACCCTTCCTGCTGCAGCCCCTTGCAAATGCAGCAGCCTGGCTCTCCTGCTTGCCCCTCTTTGGGTTATTTGTCTGCCTCTGGACAATTTGTGTGGTGTTGAGTCAGGTTACCTGGGGTGTGCACAGCTGAAAGTCCTCCTTGGCACTCCCTAAATTTCAGGATGGGTAAGCTGAGGATGGCTGGTGTATTGGAGCTTTTTGTTCTTCCATGTTTGAAAGACCTGGGGGGGGAGGGGGAAGGAGTTTGGTTTTGGTTTTTGCTGAGGTCATAGAATCATGGAGTGGTTTGAGTTGAAAGGGACCTTAAAGATCATCCAGTTCCAATGGGACCTTAAAGACCATCCAGTCCCACTCCCCTGCATGGGCAGGGACACCTCCCACTAGACCAGGTTGCTCCAAGCTCCGTTCAGTCTGGCCTTGATCCCTTCATGATACAAAGCCAATCCTGAGTGGGGACAAAATCCCTAGAAATACCTGGATTCTTATAGAGGGTCCTTGGTGATAGTTTCATCCCAGAAAGGTGAGTCTCTGGGCTTTGTTTTCTTACAGATGGGCCAAAGTTGAAAGCTTTGCCTCTAGTGTGTATCTCAGCTCAATACATAGCAGAAGCAATCTCAGTAGTTGGGAGCACCCAGGGAAGTGTTCCAGTGAAAACAATGCTGGAATTATGGCAGGAAGCTATGAGGTCAAACTTGAGGTTGCTACAAGTTGCAGGGTCTAGCAATTCTGAAGCCATTAGGTGAGAATCTGCTGCAGGACTTGGGCTGTGTCACCAGGTAGAAGTGACTATAATTGGGCTTGAAATCAGCAGCAGTTGCCACTTAAACTGACCTAATAAACTGAAAGAGACTCACAAATAAACTGAGCAGTATGTGTGTAACAGTCAAAACTCCTGCCTTGGGAGGGCTCCAGACTTTGAGTAAACAGCAACTTGCTCCTTCCCCTCCTGCTCTTCCTTAATACTGAGCAGATCTGAAATGTGCCTCCTGCTGATCCTGTCCCTACCCACTGTGTGAAGCTGAGCCACAGAGAACCAGCAGTTTCACTTCTCCTTTAGAGTATGCAAATTATTGTACCACTGAGATGTCCTGTGCTGTGAACTGTTCAGTACCTGCTTTGTGCTGAGCTTTGCTGCAGTGAGTGAGAAGGCTTGAAAGATTCCTTAATTAAGCATTCTCCTTGCTAAGCAGAGGAAGGAGAAAAGCTTTAATAAGGTTTGTTTTGGTGCTTGTTTTTTTCTCTCTTCCAGCTCTCTCCTTTTCTAACATCTTAATTTTTTTCAGAGGAGCTCAGCAGTCCATGCCTGGAGTAGAATCTGTGGTGCCTCTCTGGAAGATTGCAGGGCTGTAGTCTCCTCTAGAAGCTGTCAGTGGAGAAATGACTGTGCCACCCCTGCTTAGGAATGCCACAGCATGCAGTGCTCCCTGGTCGGGTCCTGGGACACAAGTCCTTGGTTTGAAGGCACTAGGGGTGACTTTGCCCAGACTGGGAGGTCTGGCCTGGGCTTAGAGGTGAAAAGTTGCTGTGAAGTGGAAAGGAAGGACACCCATGTGATAGTCCAGGACCATCCTCTCTAAGATTCAGCAAGTGGCTAAAGCCTGAGATTCCCCTTGGTGTGCTCAAACATGAAGCTTCCAGATGAGGCAGGAGCAGGTTCCTGGCTGCATTTCTCCTCAAACTCCTGTCCTGCCTGAGGCCACCCAGCACACATAGCCTGGAAAGGACAGGCTGAGCCTCCAGTGGGCACCCCTGTGCAGGCTTTTATCAGAGCTTTTTGCCAGCAGCTGGAAGATAAAATACATTGCTGCTACAAATCAGTAGCATCAGTGAAAAGATGCAGGGCTCTTTTCACTCCCATGATAATACTTGGTTTATCATGCAGGTAGAGTTTAAAGAGAATGGTCTATGTGTAGGATGTGAATTTCTTTATGAAGAAAGTTTTAGTTTTGCAGAACTTGGCCTTTGCTTCCAGCAGTGAGGAGATGTGGTTATTTTAAGATTTTCTCTGAAGTACCATTTTTAAAGTTTCCTTTCTCCACCCCTCATGTTTCTGTTATGGTAAGTTATGTGAAATTTTAAGTAAAAATGGTTTGCTCTTGTGATGGATGGAAAGGCAAATTGGATAAGCCAACACCCACATAGGTACTGACTGAACTGATTTTGGATGGCAGCCTGTGGCACGTGGCTGTGACTCAGGTGTCTGGGGTCAGATTGCAGTTCAGTTGTGCTGGTAGCTGAGGCACAGGAGTCCCCAGGTGCCACTTCTGGGGCTGGTGGCATTGCAGGCAGCAACAAGCAGCTCTCCTCAGGCTCTTGCCAATCCAAGCAGAACTGCCAAGTCCTGGCCACCAGTTCTGCTGCTCTGGAGTGCTTTGGACTTTCTGAACTAGCAGAAGAAATGTCCTTATCCCATCTGTTTCTCTTACTTTTCTATCTGGGTGTTTGAAAAGATCATGTCCTACACAGCAAAACAAAGGGCCCTTTGCTGTGCTTTGCTGGTGTGTGCTTGTTCTGCTGGTCTTGTTCCTGGAAGGTGTTGAGTGTAGAGAGCTGCAACGTGCCTGTGTGAAGAACCAGGTGACCTCTTGGGCTTGTCACCTCCAAAGAGTGCAGGTTGTTTGTCCCTGCCTGCTTATTTCCGTGATGTCTGACCCTGAGAAGACTCACAATGTGAATCAGTGCGCAGTGACGTGGGCCAGCTCTGGCCTGGCTGGTGTCCCCCGTGTCCTGCCTACGCTCTGGGGACTGGCTCTAAACATAGCTGTCCCCATGTCTCACTGCTTCAGGGTGGCAGTGCTCTGAGGACTCTGCCA